GTTAAAGTTTGTGCTGTGCTGACTTTCAAATTCAAATGATTATCACTGTCTTTCAGTTTCAGTCTCCAGGATCTCTATGCAAGATGTCTGCGCCCAAAGCTGCTGGGATCACTATGTTTACTTTCACCTCCAACTCCCAAAGTCCCTGCCGTCCTCTGTTCCAGATCCTCAAGAGCCCTTGCTACAGGCCATTGTTCTCCGCTGTGTCCAAGCACCTGAGGGGGCCCAGAGAGCTTCTGAGAAAACCTCAAACAGTCAAATTATTGTGTAAAATTTTTTACTTTTAAAACTTTGAGTGATTTAATGTTACGCTTTTTTGTTTTACTTTTGGTCTCTAATAGATATCACTTATATGGTCATTTCATACATACTGGCTGTAAGCACAGAAACTGCAGTCACCTGCAGGTCTTTATTCTAGCTTAAAGGGAGCTAAAATGGTTTGTTTTATACAGCAGATTAACCAAAGGACTGAATAAAGGCCAATAAGATAAACATTTTTTAGCCTGAACCATGACTCCTGCAACGCTACCCTAGTGGTGTCCCAACAAAGATGGAAGTAATAGGTCCACCTTAACAAACAGCATGGAAACATAAGAAAATAACATGCCATAAGAAGTATGCTTATGTTTGCTGTTCATTCTGTACGTTTACTAATAGTAGTGCTCATTGTACTATTATGCCATGTATGACTGTTCAATGACAATAAACAGTTATCTTACTTCCTGTTTCACAGGTTCTGCAGGTTAGGATTGGGCTGCTCAGTATTGGACTCGGCGTTATCTTTTCATGTACTAGTCTAAACTATCTTGGTTTCTCTAGCTTCCCATATTGGTCAGGAGCAATGGTAAGAAAGCTAATGTTTAATTAGTGTTTTATTTATTTCAGAAACTTTGTGTGACCATCAAACCAAACAGCATTTCCTTCCCAGACCCCTACAGCTTTTTGGGGCTGTTTTGTTAAATCACATCTGACTCCTCCTCTCATGCAGGAACATAGTACTGACAACATAAAGTGAGGACCATAAGAATGTGGACAGGCACAAAATCAGTAATGTTGCCTCTGTAATCAGTGAAGTGTAGACATTCAATTTTAACTCAAGGGCTGTAAAAATGTATTGTAATAACTTTTTAGAATTTACAGCCAGTTGTACAAATCACTCTCCATGTCTAGGTTCAGTTTGCAGTTTCAGATGTCATTAAAATCATTTAGATGTCGCTTTATCAAACAAAGGTCAACCTACCTGGCCAGTGTTTTCTTTCACATGCGAATCAGAGTCAATCACCTTTAACTGAGCTAAATCTTTTAGTTCTCAGGCAACATTAGAGACAAGTGGATAATGAGAACATGGAAGATAATGCATTTACATAGTGTTATCAACTAGTTAAAATTCATATCATTTTACTATACACACACTTAATCACACACAATTAGGGCAGCAGTTGAGGTTCACCATCTGCCTCCATCGGTACCTCCTGGGGGCCATGTTGGTGCGCAAGTTGCTGTTTACTCAGTGAAAAATAAAGGAATTACTTGTATAGAGTATTTAAACGGAAGTATGTAACTTGATTAAATATTGATTTTTGTGTGTGTGTGTTTCTAGTTCATTGTGCTTGGCATCAAAGCCCTCTTGTTTGATAAGCACCCAACTGGGGTGAGTAATTCAGCTTTATTATATATACATATACTGAGCAAGCATAACATTTGTGTTTACAAAAGGTGACAGAAAGGTGTCAGAATGCACAGTGCATCACTGTTTGTTGCATATGGAGCTGCATGGCTGCACAGGTGGTCTGGTATGATGAATCTTTTTTCTTTTTTTTTACATCACATGGATGGCTGGGTGTGTGTGCTTACCTGGGGAACGCGTAGCACCAGGATTCACTATGGGAAGAAAGCAATGCTGGGGATGCAGTGTGATGCTTTGGCCATTGTTCTGTGTTGGGTCTTGCCATGCATGTGGATGATACTTTGACACAGACCACTTAACTAAGCATTCTTTCAGACCATGTACATGCTTTCATGGAGATGGTGCTCCCTGGTGGTTGTGGCCACTTTCAGCAGAATAAAGCACCCTGCCACAAAGGAAAAATGGTTGAGGGATGGTTTGGGGAGCACAAATGAGTTTGAGGTGTTGGCTTGGTCTCCAAATTCCCCAGATCTCGATCCAGTCGAGCGTCTGTGGGATTTGCTGGCCAAACAATTCCGATCTATGGAAGCCGCACCTCACAACTTACAGGACCTTAAGGGACCTGTGGCTAAAATGATGGTGCAAATATTACACCATCATCTTTTCTACATGATACATGTAGCAGTAGATATCTCCAAATATGCACCCACATTGTGTTGAACAGCGTTGAAGAAATTTCCTCCAGTGAACAGGAGTCACACAGTGACTTCCACTGTGGAGACAAACTGTTAAAGTTGAAGCATTTGTTGGCTTTTTAAGTTGTCTGAGTGTTAAATGCATATTTTGTTGTGCATAAAGTGACACAAGTCTTGTATTTTAGGTCATACTCAACATGATTTTGTATCTCATTTTTGTTTTTGTTTCTAATGTCTCTGTAAAGCACTTTGAATCACCTTGTTGTTTAATTGTGCTATACAAATAAACTTGCCTTGCCTTGCCTAGTTCACTGAGTTTTGAATGAATATGGACAGTGGACAACAAACAGTGACGTGTGTATCTCTACATGAAGTCTGTGTGGTCACTGCTCTTTGAGATTTGAGTGTGTCAGCACCTTGTCAGGAACTTAGCGCACATTATTTTTCTCTTTTAGAGCACTGATGACCCAGAGCTCCACAGACCAGTGCTGATAGAAGTATCTGCGCTGCCTGTGGTCTGAACATCTTGACTCTGTGTAATGTCACATCAGCGATCAACAAAAATTGTGACTGTACGGCCTCCAACTTCTGAGAGTTTTCTAAATGTTCCTAAAAATAATCATATTTAATTTTTTTAAAGAAGTCCCCTGTAACTGTTATATAATTCATTTTGCTTGTATTTTTGAAATTTTATTTTTAGAGAATTTTATATTAAACTTCAACATTAAGCTTTTTGTGTGAAAACAGGAACATGTCTGAAGATTACCGTTACTAACATTTTTAGGTGTCATGGTGTAGAATATATGAATTATAGCACTGTGTATATTTACTCTGTTACTGACGAACTTAGACTTAGTTACTTTTTATTGTAATCAATTACTCGACCCGTTCAGTAAAGACATAAACACACAACAATGTTTGCCTGAGAATGTGAGATCAAACCTTTGCGACACTGTTGCTGTGACACAATTTGTCCACCAGGGAGCACTGTTCTCTTGTCACAATTGTAATGAGGTTGGAGGTTGAAGGCACACGGAGAGAGTTAAGGGGAGCGACCGCAGCAGCGGCGGAGCAGGTCCGGAGGCTGAACTGCTCTCCCAGCTGTCCAGAACTTTGTTTTTAATGGATTCTTGTGCTCCAGTTTGTTTTCCTCTTTTTTTGGGTTCATCTGCTAACCTCCCCTCTGTCTCCATGGTTCATGTTTTCAGATATTTCCAGGTTTCATTGTTTTAGTTTCTCAGTGTTTAGGGTTTTCTTAGTTCTCGTCCTGTTTGTGTTTTCGTTTATTTTATGTATTTTTTTTTTGGCCACAATAAAGGCTCACTTTTTGTCAAGTTCAGTCCTGCCTCTCGTGTGTCTGCTTCTTAGTCCACACTTCAACACACTGGCTACCCAGCCATGACAACAGCCGAGTTGTGGTCAGCTGTCCAGCACATCAAGTAATCCATATTACAGCATGAGTAGCACTCAGTTAGGTGAAGTGAAAAAACTTCAAACTTGCTGGGACCTGCCCTCATGTGGACCAGCACAGGAAAGGAACTGATTGTTTTATTTTTGGCAATTTTTGCACATTACACTTTATGTAGTCCCGTGTTGACTGTCTGTTATATGTGATTTGTAGCACCGTGGTCTTGGAGGAGCGTTGTTTTGTTTCACAACGTACTGTATCACTTTACATGGCTGCAGTGACGATAAAAACACTTGACTTGACTTAAAGATGAAGATAGAGCTCAATATCAGCTGACATTCATAATGAAAACATCAATGAAGACAAAGGATGCTGGTTGTGGTTTGGAAGTTTTTCAGTATCTTTTCTGCAAAGCACTGCTGGAGGAAGTCACTGCACAGCCTGTGGCATAAACGTCTTGACTCTGTGTACTGAAATATCAGCGATTTACATTCTTACATTCTGACTGTACAGCCTCCAGCACTTCAACTGCAATCATCTGTAACTCTTACATAATTCATTAATGCTTGGATTTTTTTCCAGTGAACTTTATAGAAAACTTTAAAAGATATCTGCTGGGTATCTAATGAATAGTTGATATCTGGAAGTGCAGAGTCAAAGAGTTCCTTTACTTTGACCAGCCTGGGCTGAACAAAGAGAAACAACGTGGCGTGTTCAAGAAAGCATTAAAAATACAAATGTTTCATTATTTGAGTCAGATTGTGTTTGTGTATGAACGTAAATCAAATCAACATCAAAAGATTTGTTTGTGTTGTCTGTGGAGAAGTGGACACAGCTCATAAGCTTTTACTTATAATTGTACAATAAAGGTACAGTAAGAGTGTTGCTGTGAGAACCATAGAGCGCAGTCGTATTTCTTTCCTGGTTTATTTTTTTTCCAAACTGTGCAGCAAACACACCAAGTTTGTTAACAGGTGATTCTTTTAGTCATGTTTGACTGATTTCCCTAATTAATTAATTGTTATTAAATCTTTACCATAAAATTACAGTTTTAAACTAGTCAAGTTTGTTATTTGGTGACTGTCTAAAGTTTAAGTTTGGCATGTTTGCTGAACATATTTGATTCTTGAAATGAACTGACGTAAACTTGTGGCTCCTCCGATGTCACCGCTACCTTTTCTGCAGGTTTAATCTTATACATCTTTTTTTTTTTTTAAATATACGGAGAGCATAAAGAGGAGGTGCTATTGGTAGCGGTGTTGCCCAGTTCCTGGTTTCCTCTTTCCAGTGTACCGCTTACTCGATCAGACTCGTTTATTTTTCATAGGCAGTTGTTTAAGTTTTTGTTCTTCACTAACAGGTAAGTCTTGTAGTCATGTTTGATTCAGTAAAAGATAAAAGTCCAAATTTTGTCTTACTTTACTCGCATTTCGCAGAATGTGTATTTGGTAATATTTTGACTTGAATTATTTTGGATGAGGATAAAGTGTAAGATAATGCTGATTTTCAGTTTTTACTTTACAATTCGGTTTAGTGTAATATTTACCGTTAAGTAGTGTTTTCTTGCCTTATTTAATTTTTTACATATGGTTCTGTTAATACATGTTAATTGCGCAGAGGGCGACGGCATTGTGGAGTGTAGTAATGGAGGGTTAAACTGCTTCGGAGTCAGTTTTCTCACCGTGTTTGGGAGTGTACAGGGACATTCAGGGTGATTACGGTGAATTCCAGACTTTGGAAATAAATGTTTGCATGCTTGTTTTCAACTAGCGGACTTTGTGGATTATTTTTCAACTGCCCAAGAACACGTGTACGGTCTGACTAGCAGCGGGTGCTTCCGCGGTAATATTCAGCTTGTAATTCAGACTAATTAAGAGTTGTGTCTTTATGTAAAAAAATGTTGATTAAGCTAATCGTTTTTCATCGATCTCCATGTTGTAAGTTTAAACAACATCAGAAAAGACACAGGTTGAAACTAATTTTATGATTTCTGGGTAACAAAAATACAACTTCTAAAGTTAATATTAGTCTAATCATTAATATAAAATATAGTACATATATTTATCCATTGGTACAGGTGTTCCAGGTTATGGATGTAAAACAACACAAAAGAGGCAACTGGCCAATTTTAACATTACTTCCTTGTTCCTGAACAAGAGCGTGCAGTAAATAAAGCTGGGGGATGGTGCTGACTTCACTGGAGTTTTTAAAATGTGTTACATTAAATAGAAAGTTTCTATTATCTAGCTTTGCTGATATAAATGTGGTGAAAATTATTGAGAGAGAGAGAGAGAGAAAGAGATTTTAATTTAAAAACTGAAGGAGCAAGGAGAAACAATTCAGCAAAAATGAATGATTAAATAAATAATCATGACAACTTTATGTGAGGCAGAGGCAGGAAGTGGACTCAAACTCATGACTCAAACACGAAAAAGTAACTTAGGTCGGCAGGTTTATTGGTGGGGAAACTCCTTCATAAAAATAAACTCGCAGAAAAACAAACCAAAAAACCTTGAGAATAAATAAGAACAGAACACTGGAAACTAAAATTAAATCTCCAGGAAACTAGAAACATAGGACTGAAACCGGAAACACGGAGAGACTTGCACACACAAGGAGGTACAACAGGACAAAAGGCAAAGGAAAACACAGGGTTTAAATATACAAGGGAATAATGAGGGAATGGGGAACCAGAAGGAAGCACATCTGGGATTAATTAGACATAACAAGACAAGGGGAAACAAAACTAGCCAATTGCAGTTTTCAAGAATGGCCACTACTAAGTTTTAATATTACTCTTATTATTTTGTGACCCAGAAAGAGTAAACGTTTAACATATTTTCAGGCGAGGATGTAGCTGTGTGAACTTCAAATATCTGCTCGATTTATCAAGACATCACATATTTGCACAAGTGCTTCGACGTTTTCGGAGACATCTGTTACCCACCAGCTCGATAGCTAGTCGGGAGCTCGAGGGTCACTAGAGCCGCCGAGAACGGCACAACTCCCGGCACATCATTTTCACATCACCGCAGTCTTTCGCTACTCAGGTTAAACATAATATATAAGTCACTTAGACAACCTAAAAATGTAATTTTTTGGCTTTTTTCAGTGTTTTATTTGTTCGTGAGTAAATCGGTTTGGCTGAGATTAAGGTTATTAGATTAGATAAAATAAAACTTTATTAATCCCCCTCCTCCTTGGTTTTCACACAGCTGACTAAACGTCAAACAGAAAACTGATTAAACAGAAGTGTGAGATGGTCGGGAATTTACACCAGTGTCCTGTTATATTTTAGATAGCAAGGAGCAGACGGCCGAGTTTATTAAACTCCACCGAGACAGCGGTGACGTAAATCTGAAGGCTAGACGGTCCAATTTCACAGCCGTTTACTTCCGGCCTACCCGACTTTCTGAGGACCCGGCCCACGAAGACCGCGAAGGACGGGTCCTCAGGAGGATGCAGCCCATGAATTTGGACACCCCTCTAGACACACTGACATTGGACATGGGACTGTCAAAGTAAAACAGGAAATAAAATGAACATGAACCAGGAACACAAGACACAACACAAGGAACACGAGAGAGGCGCAGAGACAAAACCTTAAAGCTAGAAAATCACAGCGGTGCTAAAGAATAAATAAGGAAAAATAAATACAAAAAAAAAAAACTAATCATGAAAATCCCACATAAACTGAGAACATTGAATAAACAAAAACCAAGTCACCCGACTACGGACCATCACACTTTTACTATGAATCTGATTGTCATTATTATGCCAGAAATTATCTATAGAGACCAAACCCATTTTTGTAGCACACGACAAACTTTTTTCTGCTGTGAAGTGAAAATTTTAACATAGAAGTTTATGACATGTGACCTGCTGTTGTAGCCGACACAGTAAAGTGACTGGGTACATCACTGCGGGATTCCATTTTCAGCACCTGGAGGTTGCCTATATATGTAAAACATTCTTGTAAACTAGTATCAGCACAGTGTTATCCATATGAAGAACCAGTGTCACCTGTTAAAGCCAACTTGAGAGCGTCCAGTGATGTGACAGCCTCCCAGCATCAAGTCGGTTTAATTAATTAAAAGATTACTTTTAAAATTCTGTTTAAAGCTCCTTTGGTGGAAAGTGAAGTTAAGTGAAGGGAAGTGAGGTGTTTGGGTCAAATTGTTTTTCCACTAAGACTTTAATCTGATTCTTATTTCAGCTTTTTCTTGTCTCTCAGTCTCCAGGATCTCAAGACAGGATGTCAGTGATTGTGTCCAAGGCTGATGGGGTCACTGTACTCACTCTGACCACTGACCCCCAAAGTCCTTGGCCTCCTCTGTGCCAGATCTTCAAGAACCTTTGCTACAGTCCAGTGTGCTGCACTGTGTCTCAGCGCCTGAGAAGTCTCAACAGAGCTTCTCAGACAGTGCTGGGGGTGAGCTACAACCATCTACACATCACATTTTATATTATGCCTATTTTTTAATTTGTAGTTTTTTCTTAAACTGCACAATGTTCACTGTTCATACTGTACTTCATTTTTCGCAGACTCTGCAGATAATGATCGGGCTTCTCAACATTGGATTGGGATCTATACTCTATAGCACTTGGACCTCCTTTTACTTAAACTACTTAGGCTTTCCATTTTGGTTGGGTGCATTGGTAAGTAAATAATCATGGGTATATGTATATATAAAAAAAAAAATCTGAAGACAAAAAAAAAAGTGTCAGTACTCTGTTTGTGGATGATCGAAACTCTTAGATTGATCTTCAAGTTCCAGCTAGGATGATTTTTGAACCTCTTTATTTGCTCACTCATTGGTTACTTTTAGGCATTGAATAGACTTGGAAAGCTTTAAGAGAAGATCATTTTGGGGTTCAAACATATCTTTCCACAGTGTTAAATATGTGACAGAAAGGTTAAATGCCAAGTTATGTCCAAGTAATATCTACATGTGATGACACCAGTGCACATTTACAAACACCGATTCATAGTTTTGCTAGGTTACATTAAAAAATTAGCTATAGTTCAAAATAGCAGTTTACACAAACAAACTATACAATTGTTCTCTCATGATGAAAGGTTTTATTTACAACTTGGAAAGAAAAGCATCTGGACTTCTTTAGGTTGCTTGAAGACGTTTCACCTCTCATCCGAGAAGTTTCTTCAGTTCCGGAACTGAAGAAACTTCTCTCCTGTTCTTAAGATGGACATGAACTTTTTATTTATGTATTTATTTATTTTGTCTTTTGTCTAGTTCATCATGTTCGGCATTGTGTGCGTTTTGTCTGAGAAGTATCCAAGTCCATGTTTGGTGAGTATTTCAGCTGTAAAACATTTTCATATGATCTCTAAAGGACTTTTTGATGTCATGTGACATCACTAATGTCACATAACTTTGCCGACATGTGGCCAGCAGTAATGTTTTAATGTTCTTCGTTATTAAACATTCGCACATAAATAAGTAACATAATATGCAGTACTTACTTTTAAAAGTTTACTCTTCGGCCGCCCCTTTTCCGCCGTTTTTTTTTCCGGCAAAATTATCCACACCCACCGACGCGCTAAGCATTCTGGGATATGTTGGGCCACGAAGTCTACACCGCCACATCCTTAAAATTCAGTGAAATGAAGGACGCATTTGAGGGCCGCATTTCAAGCAGCCTTCGAATTGGGACAGCCTTTGTCGCGTCGCTGTGCTGTAATTGGCCTTAAAATGCGGCCTTTAAGGCTGCAGACCCTGAATTGGGATACAGCCAGAGACTAAATACACATAAGGGATGATCAAGGGAAGTGGCCACACATGGGAGCACAGCTGACACACATGAACCTAAAGACAGAACAGGGGAAGTGAAACTAAATACACTGACATTGGACACAGACTTCCAAAGTAAAATAGGAAACATAACAGATGCGCACTTGACTAGGGAATACAGCAGACCATAGAACAGAGGAACCAAAAGACTAGAAAAGATAAACTATGACAAAATCAAAATTCAATAATGATACAAAACTCAAAACACTGGGTCACCGAACCAGGACCATGACACCAGGTCTTAGGGTAGAGGCCTTAAAAAGTGCAATCCAATTACATGACAAAAACATTTATCCAGATTAGGGCTGCCATGATTAGTCGAGTTGTCATGATTACGTCAACTAATTTAATAGTGGGCACGTCGTTTGAAACTTTGTAAGATCCTGAAAGACGTAGGAATAAGTAGTAGGATTTAAGAGTGTAATAATGGACTGGAACAGAAGATGGCAGCACTGTATGTACAAGGATGCCAGCTGCCATTAAATGCCAAAGAAGAAGAACAAGAAGAAGTAGCTGTGTCCAAATTTAGGGGCCACATCCTTCAGAGGCTGCATTTGTAGGCCGATTACGTTACAGCGATGCAACAAAAACTGTCCAAATTCAAGGACTCCTCCAAATGCGTCCTCCTTTTCCCCAGATTTGAAGGATGGGTCGGGTGTATCCTTCGTGGCCCAACCTATCCCAGGATTCATAGCACTTAGTTTTAAACTTTTAAGACATATATTACCACCAGCTTGACAGCTAGCCGGGGGTTAGGGTTAGCCGGCGAGAACAGCGAACTCCTGGCACATCATTTTAAACCCACCCATGGTCTTTCGCTAAACATGATATACAAATCATTTAGATAACTTAAAAATATTATTGTTTGTTTTTTGCGCCTTGAGGCGACTTTTGTTGTGATTTGGCGCTATATAAATAAAATTGAATTGAATTGAACTGAACTGAATTTTTTCAGTGTTTTGTTTGTTCCTGAATAGATCGGTTTGGCTAAGATTAAAGTTAGCCAAAGTTAACCCCCACAAAACTAAAAATACAAAATTCCATTCACAGACAGAATCAGATACTTCATTAATCTGAAGTGAGGAATAACATTAACAAACCAAAAACAGAAACCCAAACTTAACATGAAAATAACAACCATCATATCGTAAAGCAGCAACTAGACAGAAACCAACGTTTAGATTAATGAAGAATCCAGGCATGACTATGAAAACATGCGTACTCACAGAGGCTATGATACTTTAGTCTAAGAATGCACTAAGTGTCATTTATGGTTTGGATATTTTCTTGTACATTAACTGGTCATTTTTGTTTTTCAGGTCATCCTTACTGTGATTCTGAATCTGACTGGAGTTGCTTTTGCCATCACAGCCATTGCTTTGTACAGCATTAATTTAGGATACATTGATTCTTGGTGGAACTGTTATGAATACTACAATGGTTACAATGGCTACAATGGTTACAATGGTTACAATGGCTACAATGGTTACAATGGTTACAATGGCTACAATGGTTACGGGTATGGCAGGGAAACGATAAGGTCTCCATCTTTGGAGGAAAAACTCCTTCAGGAGAAATGCTTGGAGGGCCGAGCAATGCTGGTGGTAAGTTAGGGAGAGCAGAAAGAAAAATCGCACATATACACTATATGATACTATCTTATATACTGCAGTATATATCATTTTGAGACTTTAGATGAAGCACTGTTGTTTGTATCCCATCAGATGCTCCTGAGAAGCATCAGTGCTGTGATGATCACCTTGTCTGTTCTGGAGCTCTGTGTTGTGATAAGCTCTGCTGTCCTGGGAATCAAGGCTCTGAGGAACAAAGAAAAAGGACAAAACAAGGTAGATAATGGACAACACAATGGTTAAAGCACATTCTGATAAACATGTTAAATAGTAGAAGATGTTGGCTGAACACATGAAGTGTTCTTGCAGGAATTCTGTTTGTTTTGTCTGAATATCAGTGAAACCAGGTAACAGTGAGTCTGTGCAGTGTTCTCATGCTCTCTACCAGTTTGAGTGAGTCAGTTAAAGTTTATATCTGATGTACAGACAGAGAGCAGGATGACAACATAAAACAAAACAACAGCCCATCATGACTTTAAGGCATGAAGCTCAGTCAGTCCAGAATATTTGTGGAACTTCAAACTCTTTGTAGAAACTGGCTCCCACGTGGACCGGCCCAGGACAGCAAGTCCAGAGTTCAGGCTGCAGATTTTAGGGAGAGACTGTGTGAATCAGAGCTTCATGGTGGAACTGCTGCAGAGAGAGAGAGAGATCCATGAGGAAGAAGAGCTGTTGGGACTAATAAAAAAATAGACCAGAGGAAGTTTGAACAGCTGTGCCCAACTTTCTGTTAGTGTGGACAACAACAGCTTACCACAGTTTGTTTTAATAACAATAAAATAAATTGTAATTGCACTTTATTTTTAACGTCACCTTAAATGTTGATTCCTTTTTGTATCCCTGCATGAAATTGTCATCAAAGTGTGCGCAGTCATGGTTTGTGACTGGAGGGAGTCGACACTTCATGCACTTTACAAATATTATTTTTCTCTTTTAGAGCACTGACGACCCAGAGCTCTACAAACCTCTGCTGGAGGAAGACGCTGCACAGCCTGTGGCATAAACATCTTCACTCTGTGCATGGAAAATTGATGGATATTGAATGTGGAGTACCTCAAGGATCAGTATTGGGTCCGAAAATGTTTATTATGTATATAAATGATATTTGTAATGTATCAAAGATACTAAAGTTTTATACTAAAGTAATTTTTGCAGATGATACCAATATACTTTGTTCAGGTGTGAAATTGCAACAGGTTTTGGATGTGATCGCACAGGAGTTAAAGATATTAAAGAAGTGGTTTGATAGAAACAAATTGTCATTAACATTAAATAAAACAAAATTTATTTTATTTGGAAATTATAAGAAAAAACATTAACATTGAAATTTGTGTTGATAATATATATCTAGAAAGAGTTAATACTATAAAATTTCTTGGTGTGATCATTGATCATAAGGTCTGTTGGAAATCACACATCACTGAGGGGAGAGTTAGCACGGGGCATTGCTGTCTTGGGGAAAGCAAAACAATTTCTGGATAGGAAAACATTGTATATGTTATATTGTGCTTTACTATTAGCGTACATGAGTTATTGTGTAGAGGTTTGAGGAAATACATATAGAAGTAATATTCAGACTATAATCATAATGCAGTAAAGGGTTATTAGATTGATAAATCAGGAGGGGTATAGGGCTCACACAAATGCACTCTTTATTAGGACGCAAGCTATAAAATTCCAGGATCTGGTCAAGTTCAAAACAGTGCAAATAATATATAAGGCAAGGAAAGGGATGCTCCCAATCGAAATAAGTAAATGGTTCTTAGAGAGAGAAGGGAGATATAATTTTAGAGGGAAGTGGAATTTAAAATTACAAAGAGTAAGAACAACTTTGGAAAGAATGTCTATTTCTATAGCGGGAGTTAAATTCTGGAACGAGTTAGAAGAAGAAATAAAGGTCAGTAGTGATATAAACCAGTTTAAAATAAAACTCAAAAAAGAAATTTTAAATAAGTATAAGAATGAAGAAAACGCAATTAACCCAAGAAAGCAGTCAAAGTGATGTTTGCTTTCCTTTGCAAATGAGTAAATCTAAACATAGTATTGGTTGAATATGAGAAAATATTTTTTGTGACGTCATGTTCTAAGTTGAAACCATTGTATAAGTTTTTGTTGTTCAAATTTAGATGATGAGGAAATGATTAAGATGTAAACATAAGTGGGTAGGGCTAAATAAGTATATACTTCTGCCTACTCCTTTTCAAACAACTGCATGGAATGATATTATAAAATGTTGGTGACTGTATATGTTTGAAATAAAAATGAACTGAACTGAACTGAAATGTCAACGATTTACACACATTCTTACTAATAACTGACTGATAATATACGAATTATGACTGTGTGTTGACGCAGCGATGTATATCTTATGTTTAATTAGATCCCACCACCTGTTATGTAAAAAATGATTGACAAAGGAAAAAAATAATTGTTACAAGTCATAGTCCTGAGCTCAGATGCTGTGCAATAACCTGAAGTTTATTAAGTCAAAATAAAAACTAGTAACTCTTTTCTTTCTTTTTTACAGAAGTGTTTAAACAGGGAATGTCAGGTGGAGGTTGTTACTTTTAAATGAGGTTTGAAATTTTAAGAAACTCCAGTTTTTACTGTTCCCAGCCTGTGTTGTAAATGAGTTCTTGGTGTGTTCAATAAAACATGAAAAGTTCAGCTGTTATCTTTTTTTCTTCTTCTTCTTTTAAATTCAGATTGTTTGCCTGTAATTGTGAATCAGATCGAGACCAAAACACATTCTCATTTCTTCCAAATGCAAGGAGCCACTCCTGGTAACAGGTCTGCATTTAGTTCCTGGTTTCTGTTTTTCTAACTGCACAGCAAGCAACCAGTCTGAGTTTAGTTTCGTTTCGTTTAGAAGCTTTTTATTATAAGCTACATGCTGTGTTCTAAGTTCAAACTCATTAAAAGACTCATGGAAACATACATGAACTGCTGGAGAAAGTCACTGCACAGCTTATAGCCTAAATGTGTGGCCTCTGTCCTTTAACGTCACTGAGTTGAACAAAGTTTTCTTAGTATCAGTATTCTTGATGTGCTGCTGTTGTGGAAAATCTAACAATAACCTGCAACACGCTCAGTGAGCTTGATTTGAAGTGGGTTTAATAAACACATTGCAGTGTGGAGAGAGCATCCCACTGAAACACTAGGACCATCTCTGAATTGTTGCCCTTACATCCTATATACGCAGACGCAGACACTCTTAAACAAAGAACATTCCACAGCAGATCAATTATTAGCAGATCCTTAACTATTCAGTCTAAGAAAAGCTCCAACCAACCGTCACCTCATCTGCAACAGGATGTCCAGAGCCCTCAAGAGGAAAATGAGTCTGCTGTGAAGGTGCAATAAAACTTGGGCCCTACTTGTGATCACATTCCACATGCATACAAACTGGTGACAGGAGTGGTCTTGCTGTACTAAAGTGAAAATATGTGATTAATACATGAGAAAAGGAATCTGCCACCGCACTGCTTGAAGAGTGCATTCCTGCTGTGTCTTGTGTTTCTGACGTTTTGCATTAATTGATTCTGACACAGTCAGTTTTCCATCATTGTTGGTGTTCTTCTTTATCGCTACAGTGAGGTTTTTTGTGGGTAGTGTTTTATATTAATTATTCGTGAAGGTCACAAATATGTGTCATATATTGTGAGGTTTTTTATTAAAAATGATTTAAAATTGGAACATGTAGCACAAAATTGATGCCATCTTTAGCTGTTGCATGGTGTTATTGTTTCTAAGTATGGAGGAAAACTCAAGAATGGATTTGAATTTGTGTTTAGCTGCAAAAATAGGATTTGAGTGAGTTTGACAAAAGGCCATTACTCATGCCGGTCGCTTAGAGTACTAATCAGGTGGAACCAGATAATCTTCACATTTTCTTTTACATCACATGGATGGCCAGGTGCGTGTGCTTACCTGGGGAACATGTAGGACCAGGATGCACTATGGGAAGAAAGCAATGCTGTGGGTGTAGTGTTATGTTTTGGGCCTTGCCATCCATGTTGATGATACTTTGACACAGACCACTTACCCAAGCCCCAGACCATGTACACTCTTTCATAGAAACGGTGCTCCCTGGTGGTTGTGGCCACTTTTAGCAGAATAAAGCACCCTGCCACAAAGCAGAAATGGTTGAGGGATGGTTTGCCACACAAAAATGACTTTGAGATGTTGGCTTGGCCTCCAAATTCTCCAGATCTCAAACCAGTCGAGCATCTGTGGGATTTACGGGCCAAATAATTCCAATTCATGGAAGCCACACCTCACAACTTACAGGACCTTAATGGACCTGTTGCGAAAATGTTGGTGTAGATATCACAGCATAATTCTGTACATGATATGTGTAGCAGTAGATAGCCCTATACAATATATGCACCCACATTGTGTAGAACAGCGTTGAAGAAATTTCCTCCAGTGAACAGCAGTCACTCAGTGACTTCCACTCATACATGCCAACACTCCCGATTTTTCTGGGGGAATCCCGAATTTCAGTGCCCCTCCGAAAATCTCCCGGAGTCACCATTCTCCCGAATTTCTCCCGATTTTTCACCCGGACAACAAAAATGAAAAACCATATCCCAGATTGGCCCAGCCAATTCCAGTTTCCAACAATGGCTACTATTACTGCAGCTACTTAGTTTTAATATTACTCTTATTACTCTTTCTGGGTCACAAAATAAACCTATAACATATTTTCAGGCGAGAATGTAGCTGTTCAAACTTCAAATATGTGAGCCGACGAGAAGAGCAAACTCCCGGCACATCGTTTTCAAACCCTCGCGGTCTTTCGCTACTCAGGTTAACCGTCTGTTTGCTGAAAAATAGTAACGTGACCGCCCCGCATTTTCTTGTTGGTAACGGTAACGACATTGTAACGATAGAGATAGTAATTAGTTACTGTTAAATATCAACACTTCACTGAGTTCTTTTGATTTCTTAAAGGCATCCAATGGAAGACCTGCTCAGTACACCATTTCACACTTTATTTTCTTACACAATTACTAGAAGGGAGATGCGTCCTGCATGACATGGTGCCGCGGATCTCAAAATGGTGGTGTGCCCCTAACAGTTTTATTACAGAAGCTCTCTCATTCTAGTCTAAACAACAGTGTCTCAGTAACTTTCCACTAGAGATGGTCCCCTCTTATCTACTTTATCCCAGGCAAGCGTGAGCGAGAGTCTACAGTATTCTCCTTACTGAAAAAAGTAACGGCATTAGTAACACCGTTACTTCTAACGCTGTTATTCCCATCACTAGTTGCCTGTGGAGAAGTGGACACAGCTCATAACCTTTGTTCTTGTAATTGTACAATAAAGGTGTAAGAGTGTCGCAGTGACAACCAGAGAGTGCTGTTGTATTTCTTTCCTGTTTACGTTTTCCAAACTGTGCAGCAAACGCACCAAGTTTGTTAACAGGTGATTCTTTTAATTATGTTTGACTGATTGTCCTAATTAATTAATTGTTATAAAATTGTTATGTATGAACCAAGATTAATGGTGTGCTGTACAAGCTATCGCCAGTAGGGGGCACCACGCCCAGTTATGTGTGTGTGTGTAACTTCTGTGTTATGTTAATAATAATAATAAGAAGAAGTCAACATGTAAACAAGCTACCGTGTGTATCAGTCTGACTCTGTATAAGCCCTAATAGTGTATTGACACCATAGAGGGAATATAACATAAATTGGCGACGAGTTGTGACGTCTGGAAGACTTGGCCGTCTACTGAGCATGTTTTGACTGCGTGGCTGAGTTTGGACGGAAAATGGACGATCGCGTGGTGAATTAGCATCGGAGCTGTGGATGCAGCTAGCTGCTTTTTCTCCGACGAGTCAGAAGCGACAGTGTTGGCTGTGGACAGCGGATACATCATGGCTGGAATGATTGGGCAGATTGACCCCTTTGATGATGTTGGTGAGCAATGGGCAACATATATTGAACGTTTTGAGCATTGAATGCGGTGCTGTCACAAAAAGGTGATGGATGCCATCGCTGTGGGAAAATGAATCATACTGATGATGACTGCTGGTACAAGGACCGTGACTGTCACCAGTTGGGGAGGAAAGGCCACATGAAACGCATGCGTAAAGGTAGAGCCAGAAGCAGCCAAGATTGGAACAGGAAAGAGAAAGAGGGAAAACCTGAGCTGAAAGGCAATGCAGTTAAAAACAGAGGAAAAGACAAAAAGAGGAGAGTTCATCATGTTGCTGCAGAGGAGAGTGAAAGTGAAGGAACCAGACCCAACACTGATAGTGAGTTTGAGCTGTATTCTTTGTCTCCAAAAGAGAAATATTCACGTATCTCCCTAATTCCTGTAGTTAACGGGAAGAAAATGGAGATGGATATAGGGGCTGCTGTATCTTTGATCCCATGGGAACAATACAAAAGTATGCTGAATAAGTTGAACTGAATAAGCAGTGTGCAACACTACCCTTGTACGTGGTAAAGGTGGATGCTCCACCACTGTTTGGTAGGGAGTGGTTGAGAGTACTCAGGCTGAACTGGAAAGACTTAAAGATGGTTCATGCCAGAGAGCAAAGTGGATATGGCAATCTGGAGGCTGTGTTAAAGAAACACTCTGCCGTTTTCTCTAAGGAGCTGGGCACAATGAAAGGAATTAAAGCCAGATTGACTCTTAGGCCTGATAGTGTCCCCAAATTCTGTCCACCACGCAACGTGCCTTATGCCCTCCGCCCTCAGGTGGAGGCAGAACTGAAACGCCTGACTGAGCTTGGGGTGATCACACCAGTGGAGCATAGTGATTGGGCTACGCCCGTGGTCCCTGTCAACAAAAAGCATGGCTCAGTGAGACTCTGTGGCGATTTCGAGGTCACTCTTAATTCGCAGCTCGGTGTGGATAAGTACCCACTTCGACGCATTGAGGACCTGTTTGCTTCTCTAGCAGGGGGTCAGCATTTCAGTAAGCAAGACTTAGCAAATGCCTATCTACAGATGGAGGTAGAAGAGGAGTCTAAGAAGCTGTTGACTATTTCGACTCAAATGGGGCTTTTCTGTTTCAATCGCTTACCTTTTGTAGTAGCGTCATCACCTGCATTGTTTCAGAAGGCTATGGATCAAGTGCTTCTCGGCCTGCCATACACCCATTGTTATCTGGATGACATCCTCGTCAGTGGTCCTGACAAACAGACACACCTGAGAACCCTTGAGGCAGTTTTAAGCAGGCTGGAGGACTATGGCCTGCATCTCAAACAGGAGAAGTGCCTGTTTTTCCAGGAATCAGTGGAATACCTGGGCCACATAATTGATGCGGCAGGGTTACACAAATCACCAGAAAAGGTGCGTGCTGTTATGGAAGCTCCAGCACCAGATGATGTCAGCCAGTAACATCCTTTCCTGGAATGCTCAACTATTACGGACGTTTCATACCTGATTTAGCTACGGTCCTGAAGCCGCTGAATTAGCTGCTCAGTAAAGAGAAGAAATGGCAGTGGACATCAGCCTGTGAGTCAGCTTTCCAAAAAGCTAAAGAACGTCTGGCCTCACAAGAAATACTCACCCACTACAATCCTTAACTGCCTCTGTTTGGCGTGTGACACTTCACCATATGGAGTTGGAGCCGTGCTCTCACATGTCAAGCCAGATGGCCACGAACGGCCAATTTCTTATGCTTCACGAACTCTCAGTAAAGCAGAACGAAACTATGCTCAGATCGAGAGGGAGGCGTTGGCAATTGTTTTTGGAGTGTGCAAGTTTCTCCAGTATCTCCATGGTAACAAGTTCACCTTGCTCACTGATCATCGCCCACTGACCTCCATTCTGAGTCCAGTGAAAGGTACACACAAGGTCAATGGCAGCTGTGCGGATGCAGCGTTGGGTGCTCCTTCTGTCAGCACATAATTACACCTTACTGCCAGCACCGGAAACGTGCTCGTCATCTCCGAGCATGAAGTAAGGAGAGCCTTCAAGAGAGTGAACACCAGGAAAGCAGCAGGATCAGACGGCATCCCAGGTCGTATCCTCAGAGACTGCGCATACCAGCTAGCTCCTGTGTTCACTGAGATATTCAACATCTCTTTATCTCAGTCGGTTATCCCCACATGCTTCAAAGAGTCCATCATTGTTCCTGTCCCGAAGAAACCCCACCCTGCTTCTCTCAATGACTATCGCCCTGTAGCCCTCACCTCAGTAGTGATGAAGTGCTTTGAACGCCTGGTCAGAGACTTCATCATTTCTTCACTACCAGACACACTGGACCCACTACAGTTCGCTTACCGTCCAAATCGTTCCACAGACGATGCCATCTCTCATCTCCTCCACACATCACTCACTCACTTGGACACTAGAAGGGGGAATTATGTTAAAATGCTCTTCATAGACTACAGCTCTGCATTTAACACCATAATTCCCTCCACACTCACCACCAAGCTGGAGCATCTGGGACTCAGCTCATCTATGTGTCAGTGGATCTCCAACTTCCTAACTGGCAGACCACAGGCAGTAAGGATGGGCGGACATGTCTTAGCCTCCACCACTCTCAGCACTGGAGCCCCCCAGGGGTGTGTTCTGAGCCCCCTGCTGTACTCTCTGTACACATATGACTGCATGGCCACTACCAGCTCCACCACCATCATCAAGTTTGCTGACGACACCGTCGTGGTGGGCCTGATCTCTGATGACAACGAGACGGCCTACCTGAAGGAGATTAAGAATCTGGAGAACTGGTGCCAGAGGAACAACCTCCTTCTAAACGTCAGTAAGACAAAGGAGCTGATAGTGGACTTCAGCACTAAGCAGGAGAGGAACTACCAGACCCCCGTCATCAACGAGTGCCCAGTGGAGAGAGTGGACAGCTTCAAATACCTCGGAGTTCACATCACGCAGGACCTGTCATGGTCCTGTCACATCAACACCGTGGTGAAAAAGGCCCGTCAGCGTCTCTACCACGTCAGACGCTTGAGAGACTTCCAACTGCCCTCCAAGGTGCTCAGGAACTTTTACTCGTGCACCATAGAGAACATCCTGACGGGAAACATCTTAACCTGGTTCGGGAACAGCACCATACAGGACAGACGAGCTCTACAGAGGGTTGTGCGGTCAGCTGAGCGCACCATCCGCTCCGAGCTCCCTGACCTGCACTCAATCTACAGCAGGCGGTGCTGGACCAAGGCCAGGAAGATCGTGAAGGACCTCAGCCATCCCAACAACAGACTGTTCTCTCTGTTGAGGTCAGGAAAGCGATTCCGCTCCCTGAAGACCAACACAGAGAGACTGAGGAGGAGCTTCTTCACGCAGGCGATACGGTCTCTCAATCACAATCACACCACCACACAGTACTGACCCACACATATAGTTCTTACACACACACTGGACATTCTGGACATTGTTATCACTTAAATCACTTTAAGCATATTTGCACTGCACAAGACATAATGTGGATTGCACAACACTGGTCACTATATTCCTCATTTCCAGTTAATACTTGTACAGCTGCTGTTATTGTGTGTGTGTGTGTGTGCATATATTTATTTATTTATATTTCCTCATACATTCTTATATAGTTCTATACTGTGTATTGTGTATTTTGTTGTACAGTTATTTTATTTTCAACTTTAATTTATATATTTTATCTTATTCTTTCCCAGTTAAATTTACCCTTCATTCTAATTTGTGTTGTACAGTTATTTCATTTTTAACCTTAATTTTTTATATTTTATTCCTTCCTAGTTAAATTTACACTTTAATTTTTCATATTTATTTCCTATCTTATTCATAGCCCTTTTTTCTTTTTTTTTTCTCTTTAGGTCACGAGCAGTTGTCTAAGCATTTCACTGCATATCGTACTGTGTATGACTGTGTACGTGACAAATAAAAATTTGAATTTGAATTTGAACCTTGCAGTACCGGAAGGGTGCACATCATGCCAATGCTGACGGACTGTCACGTTTACCTCTGCCCCTTGCACAAAAAGAGAAACCGGGAGCGGTTGAGGTATTCTACGCATCTCAACTGGACACATTACCGGTCAGTGTTACAGAGATCAGATGTGACACTGTGTCTGATGTGACTTTGTCTCATGTCCTGAAAATGGTAACAACTGGACGTTTCCCAGCAGCAAAGGACACAGATCAAGACCTGTCACCTTATCTGCTGCAAGAACTCACAATACAGCAGGGATACCTCATGTGGGGCATAAGGGTGGTTGTGCCACCTAAGCTGCGCTCTCGTGTCCTGAAGAGCTCCACACAGCACATCCAGGGATAGTAAGGATGAAGAACTTAGCTCGCAGCTATGTTTGGTGGCCTGGCATTGAGTCACAAATTGAGCTTCAAGCTAAAGCCTGCTACTCTTGTCAGCGTGTGCAAAAAGAGCCTGGGTTAGCACCTTTGCACCCTTGGCTGTAGCCTTCCTGTCCGTGGGAACGGATCCATGTGGATTTTGCGGGTCCATTCGAAGGTCACATGTACCTGGTGGTGGTAGACGCATATTCCAAGTGGCCTGAGGTGCATATTATGGATGGCACCACAGCTGGTAAAACCATACAAGTGCTACAGGGTCTCTTTAGTCGCCATGGCATCCCTCACGTCCTGGTGAGTGATAATGGACCGCAGTTCTGTTTTGAGGAATTCAGGGTGTTCCTGAAAGCTAATGGAGTCAAACACATCCACTCCGTGCCATACCATCCTGCCACTAATGGTTTTGCTGAGCGTTTTGTGCAGACATTCAAGCATGCATTGAAAGCTTCCAGGGGTACAGCACCTGTGCAGCAGCAGCACCTTGATGCGTTCCTCTTGACATATCGCAACACTCCCCATGCAATGACTAGAGAAACGCCAGCTATCTTGTTCATTGGACGCAAGCTGCGCTCTCGGCTGGATTTTCTGAAGCCCAGTGTGGTCGGAGCAGTGCGTCGACAGCAACACTCCAGGGACAGATGGTTCACTGTTGGCGAGCCTGTCCTAGTGTGTGACTATAGGAAGGGAGAGGACAAGTGGACGCACGGTGTCGTACTGGAGAAGACTGGGCCAGTGGTGAATGTGGGAGCACAAGGAGTGTGGAAACGTCATGTGCCACGGTCACATTGTCATGGTCCTGAGTCTGCAGACTCAGTGTTTTGTGTTTCTTTATGCTTTTGTTTATTCTGAGTATATATTCTTTTATAATTTGCCATTTGTTAGGTTTGTGTGCTGTGCCTGCCCTGGTCCCACTTCTGTGTTCTGTCTGTCTATGGTGTCACACTGTCTGTTTGTGAATCTGTCTGTTTAGTTCAGTGTCTTGTCTGGTTCTCGGTGTCTGAGTTTCGGCTTTATTCTGAAGGTCCCCGTCTCATGTGAGTGTGTTCACTTTACGTTTCCCCTGTCCCGTCAGCTCTGATTTCTCACAGGTGTGTTCCCCTCTTGTCTCTCGTCCCTTGATTACTGCTGTGTGTATTTAAGCCCTGTGTGTTCTCCTGCCTGTTGCCGGTTCATCTGTGTTCAGTTCCTCTGTCTGCGTCTCTCTGCCCCGCACCCTGTTTCTTTTGCTCTCAGGTTTGTCATTTAGTTCTCCCAGTTTAGGTTTCTCCAGTCATCTGTCATTCCTCACTGCCTGTTCTGTCACTGCCACTTCTGTAAATAAACGTCACGCTCATCACCAGTCAACTGCCTGTATTTTGGGTTTGAGATATTATGTATGAACCAAGATTTATGGTATGCTGTACAAGCTATCAACAGTAGGGGGCACCACGCCCAGTTATGTGTGTGTGTAACTTCTGTGTTATGTTAATAAAGAGAAGAAGTAAACATGTAAACAAGCTACTGTGTGTATCAGTCTGACTCTGTATAAGCCCTAATAGTGTACTGACACCATAGAGGGAATATAACAAAAATATTTATTATAAAGTTGCTGATCAAGTTTATTTCAAATGTTTGAAGTTTAAGTTTGGCATGTTTGCTGAAAATATTTCTTTAACTCTTGACATGAACTGAACATAAACTTGTGGCTCCTCTCATGTCACTGCTACCTTTTCTGCAGGTGTTACCTTATACATCATATTTTTTATGCTCACCTTTCTCACAACCGAGAGCATAAAGAGGAGGTGCTATTGGTAACAGGTTTGGCCAGCTCTTGGTTTCCTCTTTCCAGTGTACTGCTTACTTGATCAGACTTGTTTGCTTTTCAAACGGAGGTGTTTAAGTTTTTGTTCTTCACTAACAGGTAAGTCTTTCATGTTTGATTCAGCTTGTAATTCAGACTAATTAAGAGTTGTGTATTTATGTAAAAAATGTGGTTTAATCTAATCGTTGTTCATTTATCTCCATGTTGTAAGTTTTAACAACATCAGAAAACACATCAAGTTGAAACTGATTTTATGATTTCTGGAAGACAAAAATACAACTTATACAGTAAGAAGTCTAATAATAAATATAAAATATAGTACATATATTTATCGATTGGTACAGGGGTTTCGGGTTATGGGTGGAAAACAACACAAAAACATGACTTCTTTGTTCCTTGAACAAGAGCGTGCAGTAAATAAAGCTGGGGCATAGTGCTGACATCACTATGTGCTGCACATTTATCTGCTAAAACTGTGGATTTAACTACATTTCTGGAGTTTTTGAAATGTGTTGCATTAAATAGAAAAGGTTTCTTTTATTTAGCTTTGTTGATATAAATGTGGCAACGATTATTGAGAAAGAGATTTTTCATGTAACAACTGAGGGAGGAAGTAGAAACAATTCAGCAGAAATGAAAGATTAAAAAATTTATAATGACAACTTTTTGTCATGTGAGGCAGAGGCAGGCAGGAAGGGGATGCAAACACAGGACTCTAGTTTTAGTTCTAGAAAACTAGAACTAAAACTCCAAACCAGAAACACAGGGAGACTTACACACATGAGGAGGTACAACAGGACAAAAGGCAAAGGAACACACAGGGTTTAAATATACAAGGGAATAATGAGGGAATGGGATGTAGGAGGGAAACACAGCTGGGATTAATTAGACATAACAAGACAAGGGGAAGAAAAATTAGACACACTGACATTGGACATGGGACTGTCAAAGTAAAACAGGAAATAACACAAACATCGAACCAGGAAAATAAGACACAACAGAAGGAACACAAGGGAGGCACAGAGACAAAACCTAAAGGAAATCACAGCAGTGCTAAAGAAAAACTAAGGAACAGAAAATACAAAAAACCAAATCATGAAAAACCCAGAACATTGAATAAACAAAAACCGAAACATGGAGTCACCCTACTACAGACCATCACACTTTTATTATGAATATAATTGTTATTATTATTATGCCAGAAATTATCTATAGAGACCAAAGTCATTTTTGTAGCACACGACAAACTTTTTTCTGCTGTGAAGTGAAAATTTTAACATAGAAGTTTATGACACGTGACCTGCTGTTGTAGCTGACACAGTAAAGGGACTGGGTACATCACTGCGGGATTCCATTTTCAGCACCTGGAGGTTGCCTTTCCATGTAAAACATTCTTGTAAACTAGTATCAGCACAGTGTTATCCATATGAAGAACCCGTGTCACCTGTTAAAGCCAACTTGAGAGCGTGCAGTGATGTGACAGCCTCCCAGCATCAAGTCGGTTTAATTAATTAAAAGATTACTTTTAAAATTCTGTTTAAAGCTCCTTTGGTGGAAAGTGAAGGGAAGTGAGGTGTGTGGGTTTAATTGTTTTTCCACTAAGACTTTAATCTGATTCTTATTTCAGTTTTTTCTTGTCTCTCAGTCTCCAGGATCTCAAGACAGGATGTCAGTGACTGTGTCCAAGGCTGATGGGGTCACTGTACTCACTCTGACCACTGACCCCCAAAGTCCTTGGCCTCCTCTGTGTCAGATCTTCAAGAACCTTTGCTACATTCCAGTGTGCTGCACTGTGTCTCAGCACCTGAGAAGTCTCAACAGAGCTTCTCAGACAGTGCTGGGGGTGAGCTACAACCATCTACACATCACATTTTATATTATGCCTATTTTTTAATTTGTAGTTTTTTCTTAAAGTGCACAATGTTCACTGTTCATACTGTACTTCATTTTTCACAGACGCTGCAGATAATGATCGGGCTGCTCAACATTGGATTTGGACTTATACTCTATAACGCTTGGAACTCCCTTTACTTAAACTACTTAGGCTTTCCATTTTGGTTGGGTGCATTGGTAAGGAAATAATGATGGAATGAATGAATATATATATATATATATATATATATATATATATATATATATATATATATATACATACATTAGGGGTGCAATGATACACAAAATTCACGGTTCGGTTCGGTTCGATACTTTGGTGTCACAGTTCGATATTTTTTCGATACAAAAAAAATGTTCATGCCTTTTTAATTTGTCATTTATTAAAATTATAAATATATATTTTAACTCAAAAGTACAGTTTTTAAATTTAACCCTAACCCTTGTGCGTGTTTTTTATTTTGACAGCGAATACGCACCTGCGGACCACTTATGTGCAGCCCTGTTTATTTATCTGATCATATTGCAGCCACAGAAATTCTTTTGTCCATGAAACCATAAAGCTGCACTTTATTTTTGCCTTATAGTCTGATTTGTCATAACTTCTCCGTTTTGTGGTAAGCTTTTCTTTGGCTGTCACTTCTTCACCCTGACCTGTCTTATTTGGCTCAGCAGAACTAAAATATATATCTGTCTGTGAAGGTTCTCAGTCATCCAGGTCATAGTCAAATATATATCCTGCTGCTTTTACACGCGCACTCACATAAGCTCAGCGATTCTCTGCGCGATCAACCTCTCACATGTTTAAGCTTGCTGCGGGAGATTTCACTTGTCATGTTTGCATAGTAAGCTAACAATTAATAAGATGATGTCAGAGGAATTGGTGCACAAATTATCATCACTCACAGATCAGTGCTGTCGCTCTCTATACACAGTTCGCGCCATTGCAAAGTGAAAGCAAAAAAACAAGCGCAAATTCAAACGCGACTTCAATATGTCACATATTGACAGTGGCTCACCGATGCCAATGACATAATTACCCAGCTACATTTCCGAAAGAATGCAAAAGCATATATTTTTCCTTCCTACAATAGCCCGACGGGCAGGGAAGAGAAAGATTTTGGTAGCCCGACTGAAAAAATCGCTAGCTTCGGGACGTCGGGCTAGCGATATTGCAAGCCCTGTATCTGATTGAGGAATCACTCATCTTTGGAAAAGAGAGTTTATTACAGAGAAATGTCTCTTTCCAAAATAAAAGCTATACTATCCGCTTCTTCCGGGCTATATTCTCAGCAGCATATTAAACAGCTGTCTAAATGACTCGGCTAAAGTTAGTAGCATGCTTGCTTGTTTTTTTTCTGCTTCCACTTGTCTTTGCACTAGGATGATGTCGGCGTAAATGTGCAGTCATATTCGTTGTGTTCCCACTAGTGCTGTCAGGTTAATCTCGTTGAAATGACCTTAACGCCACAACACGGCAAATCTCCGTTAACGAGCTACCGCCGATCGCCCCGTGCATGGGGCTAGACGGCCAACACGTTAACGAGCTAACTGCGCTAACACACTAGTTCTCACCCATGTAATTCAGCATTGCATGGCACATCCAACATACTGTTTTACTTTAGTCCATGACTCGCTTACCTTCAGGGTCATACGTCACATTAAAACCAAAATAATTCCAAACGCCAGATCTGAATGAGGGTGGGGGAGGTCCATGTTGTAAGGAGAGCTTAACTTCTGTCTCGCTAGCTTGCCCTGCGCTCTTCCTTCTGACGATGCTGTCTGTGTTGAGCGCTCAGTGAATCTGCGTTCGACTACTCCGCCTAGGCTGCACTGTCGACCCTAGGCGGAGTAGTCGAACGCAGATTCACTGAGCGCTCAACACAGACAGCATCGTCAGAAGGAAAGTTGATAAAATAAATTACAAATTTTGTATTGTTCGATACATATGCGTACCGAACTGAAAGCACTGTATCGAACGGTTCAATATCGATACGAATATCGTTGCACCCCTAATATTTATATATATATATTAGGGGTGCAACGATATTCGTATTGATATTGAACCGTATATATATATGTGCATACATACATTGTCTAATAAGCAGCACAGTGGTTGTTATTGTTGCCTGATAGCAACAAGGTTCTGGACTGGGTGTCAGTTGTGTGCGAGTTATTTCTGGGTGATCCGGTTTCCTCCACAGCCCAAAGATGTGTTTCATGTTAACTTGTAATTCTAAATTGTCCTTAGGAGTGGAGATGAGAGTCTGTGGTTGTCTGTTTGTCATAAATGGGTGACCTGTGTTGCTCCCTTGTTAGTGAGATTTGGTTACGAAAAAAAAGATGACCAGATTTGTTTTTCCATTTCACATCAGGTCATACTGGATACACAAGATGAGAAATGAAATGCCAAAAAAGAGCCATGTAAACCAAACCTGTCACAGTAATGGAATAGGAATCAACTGAGTAATCTTTACGAGAAGATCATTTTGGGGGTCAAACATATCTTTCCTAAATATGTGACAGAAAGCTTAATTGCCAAGTTTTGTCCAAGATCTATCTAAGTGTGATGACACCAGTGCACATTTACACGCACCAGTTCATAGTGGCTCAAGAGTTGGGAGTTCGCCTTGTAATCGGAAGGTTGCCGGTTCGAGCCCCGGCTTGGACAGTCTCGGTCGTTGTGTCCTTGGGCAAGACACTTCACCCGTTGTCTACTGGTGGTGGTCAGAGGGCCCGGTGGCGCCAGTGTCCGGCAGCCTCGCCTCTGTCAGTGCGCCCCAGGGTGGCTGTGGCTACAATGTAGCTGCCATCACCAGTGTGTGAATGGGTGGATGACTGGTTGTGTAAAGCGCTTTAGGGTCCTCAGGGACTAGTAAGGCACTATACAAATACAGGTCATTTACCATAGTTTTGCTAGGTTACATAAAAATTGGTTATAGTTCAAAATACCAGTTTACACAAACAAACCATACAATTTGTTTTTGTAAACAAACAAATTATATAGTCTTTCCAACCTCCTTAAACTGTACAATTGTTCTCTCATGGCGAAAAGTTTATTTACAACATATCCTGAGGGGATAAAATGTCCATAAAGACCCCTCTGTTTTCTCTGTTGCACTCAGTAAAAAGATGGATGTGAACTTTATTTATGTATTTATTTATTTTGTCTTTTGTCTAGTTCATCATCTTCGGTATTATGTGCATTTTGTCTGAGAAGTATCCAAGTCCATGTTTGGTGAGTATTTCAGCTGTAAAACATTTTCATATGATCTCTAAAGGACTTTTTGTTGTCATGTCTTATTCTTATTTGCATTCATGATAAATATATTAAACATGTACAGTATGTCCTACAGCATACACACACTTACATAAATACTGGAGGGAAGTTTGCGGAGAGAGGGCTTAACACCCCTCTAGTCTACATATAATTGCTAAATTATTTTTAGCAAATAAAATACTTTGATAAAAATGATTTCCCACTCCTGACCCCACCTCCAACTTTTCGCACTGCATCTTGAAACAGTTTATATTACAAACAACAATCAGGATGTTACATCCTCATCATGGAAAGATTGTCCACTGGCCTGTAGGTGTGAATAGACTGCAGAGTCCTGGCCTGATGAGGTAGCTCTTCTGTGTGGTGCCATCCATTTCTCCAAAGGTTGTTTGGTTTCCCTGATTCCCCAATTTTTGGCGGAGCATGTTCAGGGTTTTAAAAGCCACAGAGACGCGGTGTTTAGAAAAAATGAGTCTTAATTGTTCCGATGCTCATGACACATACAGGAACACAAAGGGTTTTCACTTAGGCAGCACTTGTCCTTCCCTCCTGGATCAGTTGGAGCTTTCTTTAGGAGCCTTCCCAGCTTTGACAAATTGTTATGACCCGGCTCTGCTAGGCGACAGCGGATGTAACATAAATGAGCCCAGAGACCAGGAGGTTAGATAAAAAGAAAAACATGAGGTTTATTAACACAACTGAAAACCGTTAGTGAGAGGCACAGAAAAGAAGACCAGACACCAGCGAAGGAGGATAAGAAGGACAGACGCAACAACATTGTCATCCCCTATGTAGCCGGTGTATCAGAAAAACTCAGGAGAGTTTTCTCCAAGCATGACATCCCAGTGTATTTCAGACCCAGCAACACACTCAGACAGAAACTGGTTCACCCGAAAGACAAAACGCCAAAACACAAACTTAACAACGTGGTGTATGCTGTACAGTGCAGCGAGGAATGCTCAGACCTCTACATTGGAGAGACCAAACAGCCACTTCACAAGCGCATGGCACAACACAGAAGAGCCACCTCCACAGGACAAGACTCAGCAGTCCATCTGCATCTTAAGGATAAAGGACACTCTTTCGAGGATGCCAATGTTCACATTTTGGACAGAGAGGACAGATGGTTTGAAAGAGGAGTGAAAGAAGCCATCTATGTCCACTGTGAGCGACCATCTTTGAACAGAGGCGGGGTTTACGACACCAACTCTCTGCCATCTATAATCCAGTTTTGAGATCCCTTCCCAGACGCCTTAACGCCCACTCACATCCTGGGCCATCTGACCTCAGGAATTCGCATGACAAGGTGGGGCCAGGTTTCACAATGAACACACCCGAAACTCTGGCTGATTGGGACCCACACCCAGTTTCACACCTTGGCTCAGGTGATTAGAGGATCATCAGGGGGTCCTTTTGTCCCTCTGTGGGGGGAAACTCCCACTAGGTTTATATCTGGGACTCTCCACCATTTGACCTTAGAACTGAAGAAGCTTCTCGGATGAGAGGTGAAACGTCTTCAAGTAACTTAAAGAAGTCCAGACGCTTTTCTTTGCAAGCTCCTTTGACCCGTTAGTGAAACAGCTCACTAGGCAATAGAGGGATTTTAGACAAACATAACAAACAACTCAAGTAATACTACTAACACCAGTAGAACACTATTCATCTAAACATCTCACGGGAGGCAACTCAAAACAAAGGCTCAAATGAAGGCAAAAGGAGGGACAATCTACACAGCCTGTTCGAGTCAACAAGTCCCTCTTCGAATGAAGAATCCTCAGCCTTTTATATTCTCAGGTAATTGCAGGCAGCTGTGTCATAATTGCAAGCAGCTGTGTCATTGGTCTGTCGTACTCAAGGCTCCTGCAGCAGCCAATGGTGTGAGTGGTCTGACACGCTCTGATCTGCATGAAGTTGGGGCGAGCATAGGTCCGGGCCAGCCAATCCCCCATGAGTCCTGGAGCACTTTGATTTCCATAGAGGAAGGCGGGACCACCTGAGGCCAGAGGCCGTAACACCCCTCCCCTTAAAATACCAACTATGTTGGGCAGAAGCAGACATTACAGAGTGTGAACAACAACAAAGAACAAACACAGTAAAACATGTTTACAAGCGGGACAGACCATCAGCTAAAACATTTTCAGACCCCTTTTTATGGTGAATACTTAAGTTGTATTCCTGCAACAACAGAACCCAGCGCATAAGGCGCTGGTTATGATTAAACATGCGAGCAAGGAACACGAGTGGGTTGTGGTCGGTGTACACAACAAGAGGTAACATACTGGATCCCAGGTATACGTGAAAGTGCTGAAGAGCCAACAACAAAGCCAGGGTCTCCTTTTCAATGGTGGAGTAGTTTAACTGATTTTTTATTGAACTTGCGGGAAAAGTAACAAACGGGGTGGTTTAATCCCTGCAAGTCTTCTTGCAACAGCACTGCCCCAGCCCCAACAGCACTGGCATCAACCTCAAGTTTGAATGGCCGCGTCAAATCAGGTGCAGCTAACACAGGGGTGTGGCAGAGGAGGGCTTTTGCACTCTCAAAAGCATCTTGACATTCACTTGACCATATAAACTCAACCTTTGGGCTGAGTAGGTCAGTCAATGGCTTCACTACAGTGGAGAAATTTTTACAAAAGTTTCTGTAGTAGCCCACCATCCCCAGAAACCTACGCAACTCACGCCTAAGTACGTCACTGTAGCTTTGGCAAACTCACACTTAGCTAAGTTGAGAGTTAGAGTAGCTTGAGCCAAACGGTGAAATACCTGGTGTAACGTTTCCAAATGATCTTGCCATGTTTCAGTGTAAACTACTAGATCATCTAGGTATCAGAATCAGAATCAGAATCAGAATACTTTATTGATCCCTGGGGGAAATTATTTTTTGTTACAGTGCTCCATTTTAAACCAACATTAAGACAAGACAGACAATACGCTAACTAAGAATAGTACAATATATACATATATATACATACATACATACATAAGTCACTCATAAATAAATAGCTGGAAAAGAAACATGTGTAGCTGTAGCAGCAAACAGTGTGTTAAGTGGATGCGTTGTACAGGGAGCCACAGGCAGGAATGATTTCCTGTGTCGTTCAGTGGTGCTTTTCGGTAATCTCAGTCTCTCACTGAACGAGCTCCTGTGACTGACCAGCATGTCATGGAGTGGGTGGGAGGTGTTATCCAACATTGTCTTTATCTTGGACAGCATCCGCCTCTCCGACACCACCTTGAGGGAGTCCAGCTCCATCCCCACAACATTGCTGGCCTTACGGATCAGTTTATTAAGTCTGTTGGCATCTGCGACCCTCAGCCTGCTCCCCCAGCATGCAACAGCATAGAGGATCGCACTGGCCACCACAGACTCATAGAAAATCCTCAGCATTTTCTGGCAGATGTTGAAGGACCTCAGTCGCCTCAAAAAATAGAGACGACTCTGGCCCTTCCTGTAAAGTGCTGTGGTGTTTTTAGCCCAGTCCAGTTTATTGTCAATGTGTACTCCAAGGTATTTATAGTCCTCCACAATGTCAACACTGACCCCCTGGATTGAAACAGGGGTCAAGTGTTTCCTGGTCTTCCTGAAGTCCACGATCAGTTCCTTGGTCTTTGCCACGTTGAGCTGCAGATGATTCTGCTCACACCACGTGACAAAGGAGTCGACCACAGCCCGGTACTCTGTCTCATCATCCCTGCTGATGCATCCAACCATCCACTGCAGTTGGACAGGCCATGGAGGACTTTATTTACTAGCCTCTGGAAGGTGGCAGGAGCGTTAAACATGCCGAAAGCCATGACTGTGTATTGTAGAAAATCATCAGGTGTAACAAAGGTAGAGATGTTAGAGGCACGTTCAGTTAAAGGGACCTGCCAGTAACCTTTAAGAAGATCTAATTTCGTGACATACTGAGCAGTCACAATACTGTCCACACAATCCTCAACTCTTGGGAGAGGATGTGAGTTAGCTACAGTCACAGAGTTCACCTTCCGGAAGTCTGTAATAAAGCGGGGCGAGCCATCTGGCTTAGATTCCACTATACAAGGCGAGCTCCAGGGGCTTTGACTGGGCTTCGCTAAGCCATGTTGCAGCAGATAGTCAGCCTCCTGTTTCATGAGCAAGCGCTTATGGGGGCTGGCTCGATAAGGATGCTGCTTAATAGGTTTAGCTCCCTGGACATCAATGTCATGCTCTTGCACCGTAGTGCAAGTTGGCACATCCCCGAATAAACAGGGGTGTTCCCTAATCAAGGCAGTTATGTCTTCTTGCTGCTCCGAAGACAGATGCTCAAGCCAACTCGGCAATGCATTCAGCATTTCTGAGTTAGACAGACGGGGTCTAGAACAGGTGGGATAACTTATGTTTAAACCATCAACCTCGTCCACCCCTCCTTCCTCTAGGTGGCTTGAGGCTACAATAGGAGCACAGAACCCAGCAGGCTCTGGCGTTGACCGAGGATGGTACAGTTTCAACATGTTTATGTGACAGACGCGTGTTTTGCGTCTGCGGTCGGGAGTGCAAATTACATAATCTGTCTCCCCTCTCCATTCACAAACTTTAAAGGGGCCGCTATACCTAGCAGACAAGGCTGAGCCTGGAACAGGCAAGAGCACAAGAACTTGGTCACCCACCTGAAAGGTTCTTTTAACAGAAGCCTTATCATAATGGCGTTTCATCTTTCCCTGTGAAACGGCAAGGTGCTGTTTAGCCAGAGCGTTGGCTTGATTCAAACGCTCACAGAAGTGCTTTACATAACTGCTGACATTTACTTCGAAAACTCCATGTGGGCTCAAAAATGCCTCTTTCAGAGCTTTGAGGGGTCCCCGTGGCCTATGGCCAAATACCAGTTCAGAAGGACTAAAACCAAGTGACTCCTGCACAGCGTCACGGGCAGCAAATAACACAAATGGAACACCCTCATCCCAGCTCTTTTCAGACTTCAGGCAGTATTGGCGTAGCATCGTCTTTAAGGTCTGGTTCCACCGCTCTAATGCACCTTGCGATTCAGGATGATAAGCAGAGGACACGACATGCTTGGCACCTAGAGTGCTAGCCACTTGTTTGAACAACTTAGATTGAAAGTTTGAGCCCTGGTCAGTCTGTATGACCTTTGGCAAGCCAAACACTGAAAAGAATGTTGTCAACGCCTTAACAACAGATTTTGCTGTAACCTTATGTAACGGGACAGCCTCGGGGAAACGGGTAGCTGCACACACGATCGTGAGAAGGTATTGCTTTCCTGATTTTGTTCTAGGTAGTGGACCCACACAGTCTACTATGACATGGTCAAATGGCTGATCCACTACAGGAATGGGACACAACGGAGCCGGGGGTATGACCTGATTAGGTTTACCTGCAATCTGACATACATGGCAACTGTTGCAAAATTTAGAAACATCATGCTTCATACCAGGCCAAAAGAAATGTTTTAATAGTAGCTGGTATGTTTTCGTGATGCCCAAGTGTCCCGACCACTGGCTTTCATTGGCAAGGGCCAGGATTTTCTGTCGGTACACAGAGGGCACGACAATCTGCACCTGGTGGAGACCACTGAAGCAGTAGAACATCATGTTCTACAAAATAGGCTTGTTGCTCTTTTTGCAAGTAACACTACTAGCACCAGTAGAACACTATTCATCTAAACATCTCACTGGAGGCAACTCAAAACAAAGGCTCAAATGGAGGCAGGAGGCAAAAGGCGAGACAATCTTCACAGTCTGTTCGAGTCAACAAGTCCCTCTTCGAATGGAGCATCCTCAGCCTTTTATATTCTCAGGTAATTGCAGGCAGCTGTGTTATAATTGCAAGCAGCTGTGTCATTGGTCTGTCGTACTCAAGACTCCTGCAGCAGCCAATGGTGTGAGTGGTCTGACACGCTCTGATCTGCATGAAGTTGGGGCGAGCATAGGTCTAGGCCAGCCAATCCCCCGTGAGTCCTGGAGCACTTTGATTTCCATAGAGGAAGGCCAGAGGCCGTAACACAAATGTCCAGCTGGGATAACCACATTTACTCAGGGCCTTCTTGAGGTGATGTTTTTCTGCTTCCCTGACCACTTTGTCTGTGGGGATGGTGTTCATTCTGTGTTGTAGCGCACTGGTAACACCCAGATTGTGCTCCACTGGATGGTGAGAGTCAAACCTTAAATACTGATCTGTATGCGTGGTTTTACGGTACACATCAATATTTAAATGTCTCTCGTTACTGATGGAAATCTTACAGTCTAAGAAGGCTAACCTGCAACTTTTCATATTCAATGGTACTCATGGCCACTGATCAATGGTCTTTGATCAGTAGTTGTAGATCAGAGGTTGTGACAATTTGCATACTAATGGTCAAGAAACTGACCTCACAGCCCATTGTTCATCAGTGGTGCTAGTTTCAGTAAGTATGCAAATGAGACTGAAGAGGATGGATGAGTGACCAAACGTTTCTCCCACTGAACCAGCTTTCTGGGATTTCCTTACCTGGATGATTGAGCATTCATGAAGACAACAGTCACAATAGATTTCCTGAGAGATTACACTGAATAGGGGATGTGATCCAGAACTCGTTCTGTTTCTATATTTCATTATGTCAAGAAGAATAAAGGAAGAGGAAAATGAAAAAGAGGCAGATTAGCTGGCTAAGGTTAAAAAACTGCTGCCTAAGTTTAAACGTAACTTCTGTACAATTATAATTCACGTCGAAGAAGCTCTCATTTTTTAGAAATCTGGCCAAATTAGTGAACCCTCCTCCACAAATGTGATTATCTAGACTTGGGACCAGGAAGCAGAGTTGCAGTTTTATTATGTGTCTCTGCAGCTTCTCTCCTCCTGTCACCCCCCTTAAAAAGAAAAATCCCATCCTCTGAGAGACTGTGTCAGCTGCCAGACAAAAAAAAAAGAACAAACAATCCAAAAACATTTAAAAAAAATCACAAAGAATAACAGCAAAGTCCACAACTATCCACAACTGCACCAAAGCGTTTTGAAAGCGCTCTCGAAATCGCATATATTTCCAAACAGAGCTGTCCCATTGCAGTGTGGATGTTTGAAAACGCAGACTTTCTAAAACGATGATGCATTTTAGTCATGTGATGCAGTCATGTGACCAATTAAACAAAGATAGCGGAGTGCATTATTCAGCAGCTGTTTTGATTTGTCTCAATTTTGACAGCCCTAAAAAAAGATTAACATCAGTTTGTACGTGCTCCAGATAGCTTTTATTCAAATTCTTTAATTTGCGCAAATTCACTCGCTTTTGCGCAGGACTGGAGCGTAAGCGTTTTGGGCCGTTTCAATGTGGACGCACAATTCTGTGAAAATGACTGAAAGCGCTAGTGTGGACGCAGAGAGTTTTCAGATGAAAACGCCATTTTCAAATCTATCCGGGCTAGTGTGGATGTAGCCTAAGGGGAGACAATGCTAGGGACACAGACATGAGACAAGGGACCGTCAAAGTAAAAAGACATGAACACAAGGGAGCACAGTGAACACCTAAACACTGGAAGAAAATAACAAAAAAATCAGAAAACTAAAAATTGATAAACACAAAACATAAACATGGACTCACCAGATTCCGGACCATGACATCTACGACAGAGATTCCAAATCTGAAGAATCATCAGAATCAGATACTTCATTAATCTGAAGTGAAGAATAACATTAACAAACCAAAAACAGAAACCCCAAACCCAAATTCACAACCATCATATCCTAAAGCAGCAACTAGACAGAAACCAACATTTAGATTAATGAAGAATCCAGACATGACTATGAAAACATGCGTACTCACAGAGGCTATGATACTTTAGTCTAAGAATGCACTAAGTGTCATTTATGGTTTGGATATTTTCTTGTACATTAACTGGTCATTTTTGTTTTTCAGGTCATCCTTACTGTGATTCTGAATCTGGCTGGAGGTGCTTTTGCCATGACAGGCAGTGCATTGTACGGCGTTTATTTAGAAGACATTGGCTTTCGTTGGAACTATGATTGCTACAATGGCTACAATGGCTACAATGGCTACAATGGTTACAATGATTACGGGTATGGAAGGAAAACAATAAGGTCTCCATCTTTGGAGGAAAAACTCCTTCAGGAGAAATGCTTGGAGGGCCAAGCAGTGCTGGTGGTAAGTTAGGGAAAGCAGAAAGAAAAATCGCACATATACACTATATGATACTATCTTATATACTGCAGTATATAACATTTTGAGACTTTAGATGAAACACTGTTGTTTGTGTCCCATCAGATGCTCCTGAGAAGCATCAGTGCTGTGATGATCACCTTGTCTGTTCTGGAGCTCTGTGTTGTGATAAGCTCTGCTGTCCTGGGAATCGAGGCTCTGAGTAACAAAGAAAAAGGACAAAACAAGGTAGATAATGGACAACACAATGGTTCAAGCACATTCTGATAAACATGTTAAATAGTAGAAGATGTTGGCTGAACACATGAAGTGTTCTTGCAGGAATTCTGTTTGTTTTGTCTGAATATCAGTGAAACCAGGTAACAGTGAGTCTGTGCAGTGTTCTCATGCTCTCTACCAGTTTGAGTGAGTCAGTTAAAGTTTATATCTGATGTACAGACAGAGAGCAGGATGACAACATAAAACAAAACAACAGCCCATCATGACTTTAAGGCATGAAGCTCAGTCAGTCCCACGTCTGGCTCCCACATGGACCGGCCCAGGACAGCAAGTCCAGAGTTCAGGCTGCAGATTTTAGGGAGAGACTGTGTGAATCAGAGCTTGGTGGTGGAACTGCTGCAGAGAGAGAGAGAGATCCATGAGGAAGAAGAACTGTTGGGACTAATAAAAAGATAGACCAGAGGAAGTTTGAACAGCTGTGCCCAACTTTATGTTAGTTTGAAAAACAACAGCTTACCAAAATTTGTTTTAATAAGATCCATCCATCCATTCATCTTCATCCGCTTTATCCGAGGCCGTGTCGCAGGGGCTGCAGCCTAAGCAGAGAGACCCAGATCTCCCTCTCCCCAGCCACCTCCTCCACCCAGCCACCTCCTCCAGCTTATCCGGGGGAACACCAAGGCGTTACAAGGCCAGCTGAGAGATATAATCTATCCAGCATTTCCTGGGTCTGCCCCGGGGCCTCCTCCTGGTGGGACATGCCTGAAACACCTCACCCAGGAGGCACCCAGGAGGCATCCTTGTCAGATGCCCGAACCACCTCAGCTGGCTCCTTTCGATGTGGAGCAGCAGCGGCTCTACTCTGGATGGCCGAACGTCTCACCCTATCTCTAAGGGAGAGACCAGCCACCCTTCGGAGGAAGCTCATTTCTGCCGCTTGTATCCGCGATCTCGTTCTTTCGGTCACTGCCCACAGCTCGTGGCCATAGGTGAGGGTAGGGACGTAGATCGACTGGTAAATTGAGAGCTTCGCTTTTACACTCAGCTCCCTCTTCACCACGACGGACCGGTGCAGCATCCGCATCACTGCAGCCGCAGCCCCAATCCGTCTGTCGATCTCCGGCTCCCTTCTCCCATCACTCGCGAACAAGACCCCGAGATACTTGAACTCCTCCATTTGGGGCAGGAACTCATCCCCGACCTGGAGTGGGCACGCCACCCTTTCCCGGCTGAGAACCATAGCCTCAGATTTGGAGGTGCTGCTCCTCATTCCCGCTGCTTCACACTTGGCTGCGAAGCGTTCCAGTGCGAGCTGGAGGCCCTCACCCGATGAAGCCAACAGAACCACATCATCCGCAAAAATCAGAGATGAGTGAAAGCCCTCCGCCACTTGGCTGCGCCTAGAAATTCTGTCCATAAAAATTATGAACAGAACCGGAGACAAAGGGCAGCCCTGGCGGAGCCCATCACCCACCGAGAACGAGTCCGACTTATTGCCGGCAATGCGAACCAAGCTCTTGCAACGGTTGTATAGGGATCGAATGGCCCGTAACAATGGGCCAGACACCCCATACTCCCGCAACACCTCCCACAGAACACCCCGAGGGACATGGTCGAATGCCTTCTCCAAGTCCACAAAACACATGTAGACTGGTTGGGCAAACTCCCATGCACCCTCAAGTATCCTCGAGAGGATAAAGAGCTGGTCCAGTGTTCCGCGACCAGGACGAAAACCACATTGTTCCTCTTGTATCTGAGGTTCGACTAGCGGACGAACTCTCCTTTCCAGCACCCTGGCATAGACTTTCCCAGGGAGGCTGAGGAGCGTGATCCCCCTGTAGTTGGAACACACTCTCCGGTCTCCCTTCTTAAAGATGGGGACCATCACCCCGGTCTGCCAGTCCAGGGGTACTGCCCCTGATCTCCACACAACATTGTAGAGGCGTGTCAACCAGGACAGCCCTACAACGTCCAGAGCCTTCAGGAACTCGGGGCGGACCTCATCAACACCAGGGGCTCTGCCACCAAGGAGCTGTTTAACTGCCTCAGTGACCTCGCCCCCGGAGAGTGGCGGGTCATTCCCCTCATCCCCAGACTCTGCTCCCTCCTCGGAAGCTGTGTCAGTGGGATTAAAGAGGTCCTCGAAGTATTCCTTCCACCGCCTGACAATTTTCTCAGTCGACGTCAGCAGCGCTCTGCCAGCACTATACACAGTGCAGGTAGAGCACCGCTTTCCCCTCCTGAGACGCCTGACGGTTTGCCAGAATCTCTTCGAGGCAGTCCGAAAGTCTTTTTCCATGGCCTCTCCGAACTCCTCCAACACCCGAGTTTTTGCTTCAGCCACTGCCCGATCCGCATTCCGCTTCGCCTGTCGATACCTGTCGGCTGACTCCGGAGCTATAGTTTTAATAACAATAAAATAAATTGTAATTGCACTTTATTTTTAATGTCACCTTAAATGTTGATTCCTTTGTGTATTCCTGCATGAAAATGTCATCAAAGTGTGCACAGTCGTGTTTGTGACTGGAGGGAGTTTACACTTCACAAATATTATTTTTCTCTTTTAGAGCACTGACGACCCAGAGCTCTACAAACCTATGCTGGAGGAAGTCACTGTACAGCCTGTGGCATTAACAGCCTGACTCTGTTCACGAAATATCAGCGATTTACACACATTCTTACTAATAACTTACTGATAATATACGAATTATTACTGTGTTTTGATGTAGTGATGTATATCTTATGTTTAGTTAGATCCCAGCACCTGCGTATGTAAAAAATAATTGTTACAAGTCTTTTCTTTTCTTTCTTTTTTTACAGAAGTGTTTAAACAGGGAATGTCAGGTGGAGGTTGTTACTTTTAAATGAGGTTTGAAATTTTAAGAAACTCAAATTTTTACTTTTCTCAGCCTGTGCTGTAAAGGATTTCTTGGTATGTTCAATAAAACATGAAAAGTTCAGCTGTTGTGCGTTTTTTTTTTAAAATTCAGATTGTTTGCCTGTAATTGTGAATCAGATCGAGACCAAAACACATTCTCATTGCATTTGGAAGAAAAACAATAAAAGGTGAATCAAATAGACCATTACGGTAAGGCTGGGATGGTCAATGTGGTAAAGTAAATCCGTTGGGCATCTTCCCTCGTCTTTAGACAATAATTCTGATGGAAAAAGAGCCAAACGGGACAGGCAAAAAAAAAAAGAGAAAAAAAAAAAGGATGTAAATCCTTAGGTGACGGCCAAGCAAAAAACAAGGTCATAGTCCCCCCGTGAGAGGGGCCAGCGTGTAAGAGTTTGTGGAATGTTCTTTGTCTGTGTCTCTGTATATAAGATGTAAGGGCGATGGCCACAATTTAGAGATGGTCCTGGTGTTTCACTGGGATGCTCTCTCCACATTGCAATGTGTTTATTAAACCCACTTCAACTCAAGCTCACTGGGTGTGTTGAAGGTTATTGTTAAAATTTCCATAACACAAGAAAGGTGTGGTTTGTGTCTATGAACAGTGAACACCCGTGTGTACACCTGTGTGCACACCTGTATGGATGAGCGTGTTATTATTCAAATGGTTTCTCCATATAATCATCTTCTAGGGGGTATGGGGAGCCATAGCCCCGTCCCCCAGGTCATGAAGCAGGCATTGAGGAGATCAGGCCCGAGACATCCAGAGGCCCCAAGAGCCCAAGGAGGACCATCGGAGGGGCATCCTTGCCACCCTCCTGGGAATAACTGAGTAGAGCCCCAGACAAGAGGCCAACCAGCAGCCATGGAGCAGAAACCAGAGGGGGCTGCAGTGGCGTTCCCGCCAGCTGTGCCCAAGTGAACCAAACCGTAGGCCCAGAGGCCTGAGGGCCCTCCATCCCCCGGAGGAGACCTGACCAAGCCCGGCCCCTCCAAGGAGCCACCAGGAGTGAACTGGTACATACCTGAGTGCCCAGCCCAAAAACCACCAACCGACACCTGAGGGCATCAGCAACCAGCAGGGAGTGTAGTGAGAGGAGATAGGCTTCCATACTCTGGAGGGCCTGAGATGTTCCCAGACGTGGAGTCTAAGACCCGACCTGACATATAGACACAGACACAAACATGCATTCCCCCCCCCCCCCCCCCCCCCCCCTCCCCCCATGGACGCATATACAAATACTCAGCACTCACCCAATGTAAAGGCAGACACTAATGGACACTGTACACACAATCATACTCCCCAAACATACTCTATACCCCATGTCCAGGTAAACTCACCCCCCGAGGGTGAAACCACACATAGACCCAGGAGATGTTGCCCTCTCCTTTCGGGTGGAGGCAAGCAGACATCCCAGACCCCAGTCGGACAGCCAATATCTCCTCCCAGCCCCTCCGCCCCGATGGCTAACAGAGAACGGGAGTGTGTGAAGACCCCATACCTCCCTCCTCCCGCTCATGTGTAGTGTGCTGCGTGTTGTTCTAAAGTGCATTTAAAACACGGGAGGGCATGGTGCTTCCTGCCAGAGAGCAGCAGGTGTAGCACGAGCCCTCCTCAGAACCCTCAATGTCTACATGCATTTAAAATTGAGAGGAGGTATAGTGCTGGCGGAGCGCTGCTGACGTTGACTGAGAAAATTGTCAGGCGGTGGAAGGAATACTTCGAGGACCTCCTTAATCCCACTGACACGTCTTCCGAGGAGGAAGCAGAGTCTGGGGATGAGGGGAATGACCCGCCAATTTCCGGCGAGGCGAGGCGAGGCTGCCATATCGCCCCTCTGGCCATCACCAGTAGGCAGCAGGTGAAGAGTCTTGACCACGGACACAATACCGAGAGTGTCCGAGCCGGGGCTCGAACCGGCAATCTTCTGATCACAAGCGAACTGCCTACTCTTGAACCACGATCGCCCTAAACAGCAATGATAATAATACTTATGTGAAGTAACACAAGCTTATAGGAATCGTGTTATATACTTTTCCATAGCATTACATTTGAATTCAACAGTTCAATCTTTCAAATAACGGACAGATATTTGTGAAATCACGATACATTTGTGAATGTATTTTAACAATCTAAATATGCATATGTACAGACAGATACATTTAATAATCATGAAAATTATGTTTTATTACATTACAGTGATTTAACGTTAATTTACATTTGAAATGTGGAATCACAGTCTATTTACGTAACTTTAATGATATTCTAGAAGAACAGAACAAAACTGTAAAATGAACAATAAAATACTTTCATATTAGGATTTTTTCCCACAGTGCAGCCATACCCGCGACCTTGTGGTTGTTAGTTCACATCCATTGGCCAATGCTTAGCTTCATGTTATTATGTGTCCCAACATCCAATGGCATGTCACATTGTTTTCATGGCCACACCCTCACCCCAGGTGCAGAGGCCTATTTCTGGTCAGGAATGTTGTGAATACTTTGAGATTTATATTAATTGCAATTCCTACCTCTACATTTATTTTTTTAAATATATAATTAGCACATCATGGCCGTGCAATGTTTTATATGGGTTTTTTTTTGTTTTTATTCCTATTAATTATATTTTTAACTTGTCTCTGAATTATTGAATCAGACCAAGATGACATGAAATTTTCAGCAAAATTAGAATTCAAATATTTTGAGTAGCACAACATTAATCATCTCCGTCCTTTTCTCACCCCACATGTCGCTGCCATTCTTGTCCATAGCCTTGTTACTTCCCGGATTGATTATTGTAATTCACTTCTTTTTGGTCTTACTCAAAAATCCACCCACAAGCTCCAACGTGTCCAGGACTCTGCTGCCCGTATTATCACCAGGACCCCTTCTGTCCACCACATCACTCCTGTCCTGCAGCAGCTTCATTGGCTCCTGGTCAAATATCGCATCAATTTCAAAATACTCTTGCACAAATTTAAGGCTATTCATCATCTCTCTCCTCCATATCTCTCTGATCTGGTTCAGATCACCGCCCCATCTCGGTGTCTTAGATCTTCTTCTTCCCTTTCTCTCTCTGTCCCCTCCCCCCGTCTTGCCACCACGGGTAGCAGGGCTTTCAGCTACTCTGCTCCTCGACTCTGGGATTCCCTTCCTCCTGATTTAAGAAATATCTCTTCCTTCTCTCTCTTTAAGTCATAACTCAAAACTCATTTGTTCAAAATAGCTTATCAAACATAGCTTCTCCACTCGGCTATTTTCAATTTGATTTATGTCTTATGCTTTTATGATTGTGTAAACTGCTTGCTTTTATGTTGCTGTTATTATTCTACCGTGTACAGTGTCCTTGAGTGTTCTGAAAGGTGCGTTCAAATAAAATGTATTATTATTATTTTTCCACCAATACAAAAGGGCTGTTTTTTGTTTTGTTTTTATTTTTTGCTCATAAGCAGAGAGTGCTTGCTAGCGCTGTCTTTAGACAGTAAATGTGACGAAACTATTCAGGAAAAAACGCTGCGTATATATTGTTTATCATGACTCTGGGTTTACGTGGCCTATCAACACCATTTAAAAACTGGTATATATCACCTTGTTGCTTTGTCATCTTGAAGTGGTCATGTGATTGGCTTACCACGACTACTTTATTCTTCCTCAGTCAAACAGCAGCACTCGTGCAATTGTTTTGCCCCCCCCTGAGCTCCAGGTGTTGTGCCAAAAAGTGATCATCTGGTAGAAAGTGATTGCTGTCTGCGGGAGCGCGCGCAGCTGCTTAAAGCTGTAGCGCCCAGATTACTTACATAGAGAGCTAAGTCTGTGCAACTGATGTAAGGTGCAGTAAGCTGAAGACAGCTTCAACCGTTGTTGAAAAATTGTAACGCGACCGCCCCGCATTTTCTTGTTGGTAACGGTAACGACATTGTAACGATAGAAATAGTAATTAGTGTTGAATATCAACACTTCACTGAGTTCTTTTGATTTCTCATAGGCATCCGATGGAAGACAAAACCCTGCTCAGTACACCATTTCACACTTTATTCTGTTACACAATTACTTCTCGAAGGGAGATGCGTCCTGCATGACACGGTGCCGCGGTTCTCAAAATGGTTGTGTGCCCCTAACAGTTTTATTACAGAAGCAGAACGCTGTTATTCATCACTGGTTGCCTGTGGAGAAGTGGACACGGCTCATAACCTTTTTCTTGTAATTGTACAATAAAGGTGTAGTAAGAGTGTTGCTGTGACCACCAGAGAGTGCTGTTGTATTTCTTTCCTGTTTACTTTTTCCAAACTGTGCAGCAAACGCACCAAGTTTGTTAACAGGTGATTCTTTTAATTATGTTTGACTGATTGTCCCAATTAATTGTCAAAGGAGCTTGCAAAGAAAAGCGTCTGGACTTCTTTAAGTTGCTTTCAAGCAACTTAATTAAAGAAGTCCAGACGCTTTTCTTTGCAAGCTCCTTTGACTACGATGACCTGGATGACTGAGAACCTTCACAGACATACGTCCCAATTAATTAATTGTAATAAAAATCTTTATTATAAAGTTGCTGATCAAGTTTATTTGATGAATGTTTGAAGTTTAAGTTTGGCATGTTTGCTGAAAATATTTCTTTAACTCTTGACATGAACTGAACATAAACTTGTGGCTCCTCTCATGTCACTGCTACCTTTTCTGCAGGTGTTACCTTATACATCATATTTTTTATGCTCACCTTTCTCACAACCGAGAGCATAAAGAGGAGGTGCTATTGGTAACAGGTTTGGCCAGCTCTTGGTTTCCTCTTTCCAGTGTACCGCTTACTCGATCAGACTTGTTTGCTTTTCAAACGGAGGTGTTTAAGTTTTTGTTCTTCACTAACAGGTAAGTCTTTCATGTTTGATTCAGCTTGTAATTCAGACTAATTAAGAGTTGTGTATTTATGTAAAAAATGTGGTTTAATCTAATCGTTGTTCATTTATCTCCATGTTGTAAGTTTTAACAACATCAGAAAACACATCAAGTTGAAACTGATTTTATGATTTCTGGAAGACAAAAATACAACTTATACAGTAAGAAGTCTAATAATAAATATAAAATATAGTACATATATTTATTGATTGGTACAGGGGTTTCGGGTTATGGGTGGAAAACAACACAAAAACATGACTTCCTTGTTCCTTGAACAAGAGCGTGCAGTAAATAAAGCTGGGGCATGGTGCTGACATCACTATGTGCTGCACATTTATCTGCTAAAACTGTGGATTTAACTACATTTCTGGAGTTTTTGAAATGTGTTGCATTAAATAGAAAAGGTTTCTTTTATTTAGCTTTGTTGATATAAATGTGGCAACGATTATTGAGAAAGAGA